GCCCATCAGGGCAGTAAATCTCCAACTGCCCTAAAAGAGCTTTTTCCTGGAGTTTAGTTACAAAAGTTTGTTTCCTAAAGGCAAGTTGTCAGTCAGCAAGTGTTCTGTTCAGACACTTCTGAGTGTTTTTGTGACAAGATACACCATAGACTTAGAGACAGAAATGACAAAGGTCAGTTCAAGACTGGAAGAATTTTTCACAGTATCTTGAGCTATCTAGCTTTGCTTAGCACAGTCAGGGAAAGGAATAACTCCCTACACAAAAGAAGGTCATAACGACCATTGTGCTAGTGCCCTGCTATATCAAAACCACAATGTTGACAGCATCCCCATGCCGATAGAAATGTGAATGAAATAGTGAGGAATAGCTGCATTTATGAAAGAGCTCTATTTGACACTGCTTGGCCCTGTCAGTGACATACTGGTGGAGAAAATACTGCTATTGAGACTTCCTGTCAGTGCCCATAATCTTTCTGGCCAGTACCAGAATGAATGTTGGAAAGTTTTAGAAAATTGCATTATAGCCTGTCCTTTGTTTTGGGAAATTCCTCCAGAAATCAGGTGCAGCAGAAACAGAGACCTGCTGCCCTACCTCAAGACCATTCTCCTGAAGGGTAGACTTCATCCCAGGTAGACATTTCTGCTATTGGAAATCAAGAAGATTCATCTCTTTATACAGATGTCTTGTCTTCCAGACAAGGCAGAAATAGATGTTCAAAGCAAGGCTGATGTGATCAAATCAAGTTTTCTTATTCACTCAGCATTCAGGAACTTATATACAGACTTTATCTACGTTACAACACAGGTGCTTGCACTCTCTCCCTGATAACTTGTAGTGTGGGTCCTGCCTGTGCCAGGCAGATTCTCCAGTGTTGTGGCTGAAGTACAAAGGTTAAGCAGCCTTCTGAACAGAAGGCTGATTGATCAGAAACAAGGCTAATTTTAACATGGTTTGCATTAAAGAGAAAAATACAAAAGAATATTAAATTATCATGTTGAGGTATCGTGTCCAGGACAGCACAAAACTCTCCAAAACCGTGGCAACCCTCCAACTCCACCCTAGAGTAAGGTCAAGTCTTTCAGTGGAGACTGACTCATAGCTATTTTAATTGTAGCTTTCTTATTAATGAAATGGGTAGGATTTCTACTCATCTCTTACTAAGCTAATGATGTGTTAATCATCAGATTTTGTCCCAGTTTTCAAATCAGACAATCTTGAAAAGAACTTTTTATTTCATTACTGGAGTCGTGAAATGGACAAGAAGAACTTTAGGGTGAGATATCATGAACCTGAAACTTATGCCTGCTTCAAGGGGCTCAGAGAATTCTAAACAGTTCCAAAAGAGTTGTGTATTTTGAAGTAATGTAAGTGGGCCCTCCTACCTATTACACTGGGTGGAAAAGAAAGAAAAGCTACATTCCTCAGGATAATTAGGGCTGAGCAGAATTTAACAGAATTAAGACAATACTTGCAAAGTATATTCGGGTTTACAGACAAAATATAAAGAGCAGGCTGATTACATATATCCTATAATGTACCTATAAGAACAGACATACCAGTAGAGCAATCGGCATGTGATTAACTACCACAAGAAGGATATAAGGAATGTGATGCAGCTACATAGATGGCTACCTCACATAATTATTTGCAAGAAACCTTATAAAGGAAAAAAAAACAACAAATAATGAACAGAAAGACTAGCAGAAAATGTAAAATAAGTGCTTATGAAGTTAGGTGCAATTTGCAATACAGGTTGTGGATGAAATGTACAGTCTGTCAATATTTTCTTCAGAATCTTAGATTTAAGTTTTAAATGATAACTTCAAAGATGAGAATCAGAGAGTGAGAGTTGCTGCTGGGCAGAATGCTGTCTCTACAGGACATAGTAACATCAAAATAGTAGTGATTCTGAATCTCCAATAATATATTGTTCACAAAATTGAATCAGTTCATTTATCACCATATCTTTCAGCTGGGTAGGTTGATAAGGGGATGGTGTGGCTGGGAAGTAGATTCCTCAATAAGTGGAATGAATAAGTCACTGAATAGCTTCATTTTTGGTCCCCAAATGCTCTACCTTAAATTTAGTCACTTTTGGGATCAATGAAAGTCACAATTTTATTCTCTGTTTTCCTTTACCAGACTGGAAATCCTGTGAGTCCTAATGAACCCAGATGAAGAAAAAACTGAAATTATGTTAGCATTGACTTCATATTTAACAAAGAAATACATGTGGGTAGACCAAATTCATATAAGCTCTGATTTTCTTTATTTTGAATGAAATTTTATGTATTAGCAAAAGTTTATACAGCTCTTTTTTTCCTAGTTCATTGATTAAACTCACTGATAACTCTCTGCAAGAGGGAAAATTATGGTTCAAGGAGACACATAAGTACATTTCAAGGACTGCTAAGAAGACAGAGAAGAAGTACGTGTGGCCTGGGACTATGACAGTTCTTACAGGGCAATAAAACACATAATGAATGTGGCTTAGACCTGATGAATGGCAGCCATCTGAACCTTCCATCATAGCACTTAAGAGGTGCAGGCTTCCTGGTGGTTTTTCTCTGTTTGTTCCATGCTTACTATACTTTCATGGTAGAATGCACAACTTGCGTTGTAATACCGGGTACTGTAAGACACCTGCAAGTTATAGAATTTTCTAAACTAAGAATGGCTCAAGCCTAACTAAGCCAGGATTAGAATATGTTACTGGGACCTCAGGCAAATGATGTTCAGAAAAGCTTCTGGTGAAGGTGTTCAAAAGGTAGAATAGATAGAACAAATAATAAAATCAGAACTTTCAAGTGAATTTAAATTTTCAAAGGCTGTTCCAGTGGTTAGGGCAATGAACGACATCTGCATCTGGCTTACAACACATGCAAAGGGTTTATGTCAAGAATCACTACCACTTAAACTAGGGTCATCTGATATTTCAAAAGGAAAGAGCCCTTCTCATTGCAGGGATTATGGCAATATGAGCCAAGAGTCTAAGCTCACAGTCATGTACAAGGGCCAGACTGCTTTACACATGCTTATTAGGCAGCATGACTATGACACTCAGGGCATCAGCTGAACTTTCTGATGGTCATCGCAGTTTCGCTGGGGCAAGGCCACTTAAGTAGCTTGTATTTGTACAGCACTGAGATTTGTGCTTAAAGTACATAGTACAAATAATATATTGTAATGGTAATGACTTCCTAACTGAAATTCTAAGTCAAACACATCAGAAGTAATGACATTAAATGGGAGAAGACCAATAATACTAATCATTCCAGTTATAATAGATTTAAGAGTGTTGGAAATGTACGTAGCTACTGTTATTTCTGCGGATAATGATTTTGAGAACTGCCTATTGCCTCTGTTAATCTTGCTGGTTGATTAATGTTGGCTTTATCATTCTGAATAATATAAATCAAGTAGTAATGTCAATCCACCTTTATAACAACTCCAGAGCAAGTTTGATGTGACAACTGTGTAGCTGCTTATTTTAGCAGAAGTTATGGCAGTGAGTCCTAGAAAATTTCAAATGTGTTTATTAATTTGATATAAAACACATGAAAGAAGCACACAGATTTACTTCTTTGTTTCCTCCTCTCAAAATTGCAATTGGGCCAGTAACTCTTAATACAAAGTTAATTTAGTCAAGATACTTGAGAGCCACTTGGCTCTGTTTCTAAATTCCTTCCTTTGTCCTTCACAAAGCTCTTTGAAGTGTTACTCTGCGAGGTGGATGTTGTAATGAGCCTATTTCTAAGAGGATCAAAGTAGAAGAGCTGCCCAAAGCAGCATCAAAGATACACAACAGAGAGCCCTTTAATGAGCAAGAGGGACATGACTGTCTTTTCCCCAAAATAAAACCCTAAAACAGGATTTAGATTAAATATTTAAAATTGAAAATTATTTTATTTTGTCTGCAGCTTTCTAGCAGAAAGCAAAAACCTCAAAGAGAAGAAGAGATTTCTACAGCTGATTCTGGTAAAATTTAATGACTGTCATCTGCTCCATGCTTCACCATCGCTTAATGAAGTCCAAATACCTGTGGCCTAAGCTAAAGGTGGCAGTGGCAGCAGCTCAGGCACAGGCAGGATAGCAGCCTTGTGCTACAGCAGATTCCTTTCCCATGGATATGAAAATAGAAGACAAACATACGGCAGGAAACTGCGGCAAATGCTGTGGAGTGAGAAGACAGCTTGGAGGGGGAATAGGGGGGAAGGGTGGGAGAAAAAAAAAGGAGTGGGAGGGAGGACTGGACATGTAAATTATGTGCCAGGAAATGAATTCCTTATAATGTCTCTTGCCAGAAGCTAAATCCTAGCAAATGTAAGTTGTCTTTTTTCCCTTTCTTTTGCTCTTTCCCCTGTTCCTCTGAGGGCCAGGGAGGAAGGAGCAGGGACAGGAAGGGGGGTGTTTCAGTGTTTACTTACTTATTGTGTCACTTGAAGTGCTATATGATCCAGCTTTAACATTAGAAAGCATGTGACCCCATAAAAGTGACAAACAGGATAATATCCTGCTTTTCATTACGCATGGTTTCTCAACTTACTTTATTTGGCCATGGGGATCCTTCAGTATGTTCTAGGGCTGAAATACCAGAAGAAATGTTTTTCTGTTCAGAGTGCTTATTGCACTGTGCTCAGTAATGAAATGGGGGCTTATTTTGTTTGACTTGATAGCTATCTGTGCAAATATTGCCTCTACTTAGGTTTGTGTTTGTTTAAGGAATCACCTACTGCATCTTGTCAAGACTGCAGAAATGTATGCCACTGACCTGTGCTTAACTTGGGGATAAAATGAGAAGACTTGTGTTTAAGGTTAAATCGGTATGTAGGGTTGGGTTTGGTTGGTTTTGTTTTAGAATTGAGCAGAAACCATCTGGCAGAAAGTTAAAAAACCTTAGCAGCAAACCTTAGGCTGCTGATGGAAGTACACTTCTAGCTTATGAGAAATTAATGATATGATGCAGGGAGAGGAATGACTAATGAAACTGGACACAAAATAACTGTATAATACACTAACATTCACTGGGCATTAAGCATGAAAAGTAGACTTCTTTTTGCCTTCTCAACACACACATATATCCCAACATGTGCAATGCCATGGACAAACCTAGTACCAGTTTCCTTGAAGAATCCTGTGGGTAAAAGCACTTTGTAAGGAACAAAGTTCTTTTCTTTTTTTTTTTAAAAAAAAAACTGCAACACTGTAATAGTTATGGAAGTTTGTACATAGCAAAATTTTGTAACTTTAAGTAAAATTAAGTAAGAGGCTGCTTTTCAGTAAAAGGGCTGAGAACCCAAGAGTTTTCAGTGAAAAAGACTGGCTGGGAAACACAGCTCCCAGCTTCCTTGATTGGGCACAAAGCACACATATCTTCCTACAGTACTGATATCTCTGGAAATGTAAATATCTATGAACGTTTGTACCATGCTGAAATCAGTAAGACTTCAGAGTTTCTAAAAACTACTGATTTCTGGTCGGGACTTGGTAACCTAACAACAACCTGTGAAAATCTTGACCATTGTGACTTGGTTGACATTTTAATGGCAGATAAAACTTCTAAAACATCATTAGCACATACACTTTCTAAAGTTGCCCACTGTAGAAATAGAATATGTACATATATGTACATGTATGACTTGTATTTCACAATCCATATGTTGTGGGTTCACTGCTATTTAATTGCTTGAAAAGATTTTTATATTACAAGTCAAAACAGAAATTCTTGGCATCCATATGCTTCTTTTATGGTTCTGTTTCTAGCTCCTAGAATTTAAACCGCTAAAGAATACAGAATACATAAAGAACATAGTAGTAGAAGATACGGTTTGCAATTTTAGGGTGATGCAAAATAACACATAAACACAAGAACAAAATGAAAAACGGTATCAAATGAGATATCAAGCTTTTTGCACTTGAATAATTGAAACTAATCTCCACAAAAAGCAGCAATTAAGGCTTTGATTTGAGGACTTCTGTGTGCAGAAAATCTGCAGGCCCTACATCGTTCCTCTTTCTATGGCATAAAGTATGTTTGATTTAAAGTGATTGTGTAGAACTGTCCCATCTCAAAGTCAGTTCTGTATAACATCTTCAAAAAAAAAAAAAATTCTGCTAAAGAATCACTTATTCCCCAAATGTTAAACCAAGTTAAACCATTTTTGAGAACCATGATTTTTAGTGATTTCTTCTGTTTCAGTTCTGGTAATGCTCTAACTCAGGAATAACAACTTTTACATAAGAATGTTTTATTTTTCACATGGGCTGAGAGAATCTCTAAGATTCTTTTAAGAACTCAGCTTGTATTATATTGATCTATTTCATTACTAACACAGATTAATTATATTTAAAATTAAAACAATTGGGTTTAATTGGAAAGCAGATTTCTACTCAGCCTTTAGAAGTAATAATTTCTGAACAGTACTAAATCAAGCATTTTTTGCTGTACCTGTAAGTTGACTACAAATCTTGCTATTTGAAATTTGGGTACGTAATGAAAAAGATGTTTCCCTGAAAATTAGATGATTATCTAGTGTCAAGTTCTGGCATATTGCTCTCCAGTAATTTAGTGTATTAATGTAGTTAGTATCTGAGCTATTTGTTGCAGTCTTGCTGATTTAATGCTGCTAAAACGAAGAAAGGAACATGCAGTAATAGGTGCTACATTAAGGGCTCCATAAAATCTTCCATGCAATATAAAACCAACTTGCAACTTGCTCATATATGTTTCTAAATGTAAGTTTTCAGTGCCATTAGTCACAGCTTTCAAAAGGTTTCTCTGATAAACTAGCTGTTGCCTAGTCCTTTCTAAGTAGCAGTTTCCTGTGAGTATCATGAATGAGAAATCTTTCTCCAAAAATCCTCCTGTGCTAGGCAAGACCCAAGAACAGTTCCAGTTGTCAAACTATAGCAAGGACCTACCTGGAGGCTGCAGAATAGTCAAGGTACAATTTCTTATTTCCTCTGAAAAAAAGCATAACAATAATTATCACAGGCTGTTAGATTATGTTTAAACATCAAATACGAATACCTTTCTACAGATATCCTGTATGAGATCTTACTGTCATTACAATTATTGATGACATAATTTTTATAAAGTGATGAGGCACCTAATTATGATACTTGAATAACTCTGGTATAATAATGCCTTCATTGTCAAAACCATATATGAATAACGGCAACTTAAAACCAATGCATTTTGACACTTCTGTGCTCTGTGCTACCCAGAATCATGAACCAAGATGTCCAAGTAGAGCGATCCTTGTCTAACGTCCTTTCAAATGATTTTCCAAAACTGCGTATTAAGTGAAAATCAAGATGGATGTCATATTCTTATGCAGTGATAAATATTAGTTCAGATCCCATGGCCTCGGGGACCCTCTGTAGCTGTGGTACCTGAAGCAAGCTCTTTGTTGCTTTAGCATCCATTTTGAACAACTGGGCAAAACTACCCACACACAATACAAAATAGCTTTGTAACAGGGATTCAGAAGCAAGCCATACTGGAAATACTGTGGAGCCCACTGAAATCTGGGGATTTTTTTTTGTGTTAGGATGTTTTACCTACCTTTGAAGCACTGCGTATCTAGCTCCTTCTATGCCTTTAAGAATAAGGAAGCTTTACCAGGTAGCCCAAAGAGAATATTAGGAGAGTAATTATCAGAAACAAAGACATTTGCTGAAAGGAACTGTAATTTGGCTTCATGCTTCTGATCTATACTAAGACTAAATACTTACAAAATTCAAATTGTTAAATAATTTGCTTGACCTTGTTAAGAACATTTAACTTGTAAGTAAAAGTTCTTGACCATGTGATACTACATAAACAGTTTACTTTGAATACAGAAAGGTGCTAAGTACTACTCTCTTTAATTAAACTTATGAACACTGAATTTTAGTATTGTTTTATCATACTTGCATTCTTGAGAGGATTAAGTTTATAGCTATAGATGTTGTATTTTAAAACAAATTGTCATTAAATGGATTAAAAAGGGGTATATTCCTGCCTAGTCCTAAAACAGCTAGGTCCACAGCTGTGGATGTCAAGGTGTAAAGGGTGGCTGGGCTGCCGGAACGGCACAGCTCAAGTGTCTTTCCCTGTGGCACTTCAAAGAAATAGTCCTGAGATGGATGGGCCACTGGTCTGGCCGAACAGAGCATTTCTTCCTTTCTTAGCTGTAAATAAGAATAGCAAAAACAATAATAATAAATAAAAGATAAGTAAAAAAAAAATATTACTTACCTATCTGTTCTTTTGTGCAAACTTGTCTTTCTCTTCTTACTGTAAAAATAGCTAAAGAAGAGGAATACTGAATAAGTATGTTTGTGACTAACCCTGGCTCATAATGCAGGGTCAGAATTTAGCCCAAATGCTGCTTTTCTGTTTTCAAAAAAGCAGCAGCATTTTTTAAGGTGATTAGTAATTGCAGTGTCTTTTCACTTGACATTACGAATTATTCTTCACGTGGACAAATAAAGAGGAAAAATGCAACAGCAAAAAAGTAACACAATAGCTCTTTTGTGACCAGCACCATCTCACAAAAACATTATTTTCTTTTACTTCATTCATTTGCATATATATTTATTTGCAGAAGGCAAAACATGACTATGTAGAACATTTAAATTCCAAAAGATATGAAAGTTGGATGACTCAGTGGAAAATTCTCAGAAATAATCTTGATGAAGTGGTTTTATTCATCTCATTCTACTTTTCTTAAGGGCTGACATATGCATAAAAGGGGAACATGATCCCTTGCACATGTTCTCCATGAGGACTGAGTGTAGCACAGTCATTAACTTAAAACAAGCCTCGCTGACTCTTACTCAAAGGCATTGCTGAATCCAAGCCAAAGGAATTCAGGCTGGCATTTCTCCCTCTTCGCTGATCAGTGAATGGGGTGAAAGGACAATCCTTTTTCACTACCCAAGTACTACAGGGTTCCGGTGGACCTATGTGATCTGTCAGCGTGGGAAAGGAAGTGACCTTCCTTTCTTGTGCTGCTGCAGGCTGAGGATGCTCAAAGACAGAGGGATGGATGAGAAGGGGGACAGCTGGGACTGTGCTTCATTAGGCACTGCTAGCATGGTGAGGCCCTACCAACACCAACCACCAGCACTTGAGCAAGTCCCATTTTTTTTTTGTTCATCCCTCAAACAGGAAACAACATTACAATTAGACCATATACAACATGTGCTATGTATGTGTGAAAGGCACTTGATTCTCTTCCTTGAGAAGCGGAAACCACAGGGTGGTCACATCAGCACTCAGAGCATCAGCATTATCTGAGGGCACAGAAATGTATCTGTGAGGAAAGCAGCTCTTGATAAAGAGAGGATTGACAGCAGAGGCCCTCACAATCATCCAGCTTTGCTCTAGTGCTCTCTCTGCTGCTTGAGTTTTCCAAGGGCTCTGCCTCCTATTCTTCCTTTGACCATTTTCCTCCTTTGTCAGTTCTACCATATGGTCCTAAACCTTTACAGGGAAGATCCACCTCCAGGTTGAAACAAGCCAAACATATGGAATGCTGTTTCAGAAGTCAGGGGTGTAAATCATCTTTAGATGATTAGTAACCCTGGTTACTGTGTTGTGCTCCTAGAGAAAGCCTTTTGCAGTGATCAATAAACTAACCTAACCAGCACATTTTGGGAAATGGAAAATACAAGCTCTACATAAAAGTTATTTCTGTAACAAAGCATGTGATTTGTTGATTCAAAACTAATTTGTCTGTTATAAAAATCATTTTGGGTCAAATCCAAGCCAAGCAGCTGATTTTTCAGAAAAGGAGTGTTTAGTTTTGAGTCAGTTCAACTTTCAGTAGCCACTGAAGCTTCCCATACTGTCCCATGGGAAGTGGACTGGAGTATTCTCCCTTAAGCTAGCTTTCCTTGGCTGATATTATCTCCCAAATGCTTCAATATGTTGCTTCAATATGTTGCCTCCAATTAAACCCCAAAAGTGAACTACGGAAGTAAATATAAAAATGGTACCTGATAGGATAAATGGAGTAAGGAGAGAGCCCAGCTTACTAGAAATGACAAATATTTTATAAAAACAAAAGAATAATTATACTGGGCAGATAAAATTTTTATTTAGTGTACATTTGTGGTTTTATAGTGGTCAGTAAAAGAGATAAGAAGATACAAGAAAATCAGAAATTAATTGATGCCTCTGACATATTGTCCCAGCTTTCAAAAATGTGCCATTTCTAAGACTTCCTGATCTGCAGACTGCACCCAAAGCATTGTAATATCAGCCTTATGCTTCTTCAAATGAATATCTCAATCTGTTTAAAGCCATCAACACTTCTGGCCTTCAGAAATTTCTGCAGCAATGAGAGCTTCAATTTAATTATGCATAGTAGGAAGAAAGGATTTCCTTGATTCATTTCAAAGCTTCTATTTTAAATTGGCATTGGGTGTCTTTCAGTCATTTCATTGAGACACAGTAAATAATGATTCGCTAGCTACCATGCCAATCATGATATTTCAAACATGTACCGTATCTTTTTCACTGCCTCTTCTGTCCACGTATCCTCTCTTACTGTGGAAATGGTCTCTATATGAGACCTCCTCAGTCCTCCCACATGCCACTTTAACTACAATTCCCATAAGTCTTTTGAAGCAGTTCAGGGTATGCAAAACACCACCAGATGAATTTAAAAGAAAATTTTCAAAATTTCTAAGCAACGTTTGATTCTGTTCCTATGCATTCTGCATACTTTAGTACAGTCCCACAGAGGTAGGAAAATATTTATGTAGATATAATAATTTTTCAGGGAATTACTATTTCAATCAGTTTTATCAGACTTTTCCCTAACTTTTAAGGAGTTTGACCTTACACATTTTTTTCTGATACATATTGACACCAAGATTAAAGCCCAGTTTGCCACAAAACATAAATAATCTCCATAAGAAACTCTCTGAATTAAGACACATCATGTTCTTTTTGTTTTTTTCAGGTTGAAATATTTTGTCACCAATCTGAAAGTCAAAGTGAGTGCAGGCAGATGTGGAACAGGCTTCCTTTTGAAGCCGAATGAAGTATAAGGCAGGAAAAATAACAAGAAGTAAATCTGACTTGTGTTTAATATTCTTTTTTAATAGAATAGGTCACCTTGGTAAAACAAAGCTATGACCTGCAAGTTTAAACAAACTCAATTGGTTTTAGTGGATTTGCTCTCACTGAAGAGAGAGAAGAATTTATCATCTGATGTTTTCCTTCAAACAATCCTTCTCCAAATGTCATGGTAGAGACAGATACTTTTTGGAGACTTCTAACATTGCCATACTAATACTTGACAGTTATGCACACATGGTAGGGCAGAGGTATTTTTTCTCAAAAGAAAAGTAAAATCACAACCTGAAATGAAGTTGCTGAGGTCCAGTGCAGAGGCATTGGGGCTATAAGTCTTTCTCAGATAGCATTACTAAGATAACAAAAATGTGTATGCTTCTTTTCAAGCACTGCATCTGGAGAACAAGCACAGCACGGCTGTCATCTGAACAGCCTGCTCGCCTGCTCTGCAGACGGTTTTATATTCCAAGGCATCCCCCCCCTCTCTCCACCAGTCGTAGTCACTTGCCCCTTTTGCTCTGAAAATAAATCAATTTCATCTGCCGCAGTTCGATTTCTTTCTTCTCTCTGCCTCAGTTCCTAAGTCTCACTCTCTCTTTGAAAGCCTCTTTCCACTGCACCATATGGCAGCTGAGAGAAGGGCAGAGCCGTGATCTAGCTCATAACAAAGAGGCTGTGGTGTCAAAAAGCCTCATGAATGCATGAGACACATTCATGTACAGAGAAATGCCTCCAGCTCTGTCAGGGAGGACTAAAGAGGAGGCTGATAGGCCTGACATCGCTTTCGAGTTGAGAAAGGCAGCAGCTCTCTCTGCAGCTCATCCCTTCCTCCCCCCCACTTTGGTTTCATGCCAAAATCCTATTAGATCTATTAATGACATGAGACACAAAGTCAGAGTGTGTGGCAGAACAAGAAATTAAATCAGGCCACCTTATTTACACCCTATCACTGTTTCTGAGATAGAACCATACTACCAAAAGAAAAAAAAAATAAAATAAAAACTTTGATAGTGTGCCTAAGAATAAATAACCAAGCCCTATCCTCCAAAAAAGGGGGATTTTGCACACTCCTGTATATTGCCTATGGCAGCAGATTTGCAGCAGAACTGCTAACTGAATGCTTGCAGGACAACCCTGAATACTGTTTAAAGTACACTGTTGGGTTTATTTTGCTTTCTCAACTTTCTCAAGTTTCTGATGTTGATACAAACAAAGGACTTAGAGGCTGGAAAATTAACTAGACCTCTTATCACATGTGCATGTTGAACTGTCACAGAACTACTCTTAATTTTTGAATATGAAAGAAGTGCAAACTGGCACTTACAAAGCATGCATTCCTTTGCCCTCCTCTCCCTTCTGTTTCGCTTCCTCTTTCTGTGTCTTGGCAATGTTTGGCATGCTTCAGGCCAGAAATGTCTACAAAATACATTCAGGACCTTTATACACAAAGTTAATAAACTGTACATTTATTACAAACTTTTGTCATGACTAGGGGAGAGGAAAAACCCACACTCTTGTGCAGCAGAATACAACAGTGTGCATTTTATGAATAACTTTGTTACTGAACTTAAATGGGGAAAATGTTGTTGCTTTCTGTAAAATGAAGCACTAGTTAAACCGTTAGAACTGCACTGCTATTGCTGTCTGTTCCCCAGAAAGACCTCAGGAATCACAAATCTCTGTGCCCCTGGGGTTATTTAAAGGTTATTTAAAGCTTCCAAATGCTGGTATCTGTGACCTTTACAAGTATTCAACAATAAGAGTCCCCTATGAAATAAATACATTATTTATATATGTAATATATGGTAATTCAGTCATTCAGCAGTGGTGCGGATGTTTCAGGATGAACTTCTACCAGCACTGTTGAATCATGTCCCTACAATCTGTTTTGAAGATTTTAATGAAGGCATGGCATACATCCTTGTATATATACTTGTATATATACATGTATCCTTTTAGAAAATATGTTTATAGTATCTCCCAAGTCTACCTTCTTGGAATGCGCTTAATGTAGCTATTGAACAGTAATATATATGTGTGTATATGTTAAAGATACTATTTATAGGTTCATCGTGAGTCACTCACTGAAAATGAGTTAGTTTCAAAAATAAGCTACAATTAATTGAGAAATGTAAAAATTCAAATGGAAATTATTTTGATGTTGTCTTTAAAATTAATTCTGCCGTACACGGGGAAAGAAGCTGTTCTGAAAGCTGCTC